TTTTTTGTGCAATCCTTAGCTCTTGGGCAATCGAAACAGTGCTTACATGACGGTCGGACTCGACAATGTCCATGATTTTATCGATATTTTCGACAATTGGCCTTCCAGTGCGTGGTGCATCTTTGATATCGAAATTACCGGAAAGGAATCGACGAAACCAAAATTGCGCGTGATTGGCTGTTACAGTATCAGGACCATAAACACTATTCATATTTTCAGCCGCCTGGCTTGCGTTTTCGCCTTTATCGAAGAAAAATTGTAAAATATAGCGTATTTTATCTTTGTTAGTGTCCATCTTTGACGCGCGCTCAAACAAAACTGAGTCAACTAATCACAAAACTGTCAGAAAAGTTTTTCTAGCACGAAATCTCATCTTTCTAACGCCATCTAGTGGAACCCGATCGGACTTATACAACGCGAGATACAGATAACTAAAGCCATCTATTGGAAAAATAATGGATTTCTTTTTACTACACCTGATATACAAATATATATTATATATACAGAGTTCTCAAAAAGTCTCTGAACGATAAAATATCTCGGAAACAATCAGTTTTTAGAAAAAATATTTCAGGCAAAAGTTATAAGGTTCAAAATGATCTATTTACTGATCTTATCAGTTTGACCTTGGCTAGCGTCAACAAGGTCAGGGCAAAGTCACCTTGAACTTTCCAAATGGAACGTCCTACTTTTTTTACATATTCTTATAACGTATTTCAAGAGCTTTCCAAAACACTACAACAAAGTATATTTTTGTTAAGTACATCCCGAGTTATGAAGCTTCAAAGTTACAGTACCGTCAACATTAGCATTATCCAAGGTATACCGCGTGGAGGTTGCACGATCGGATTTACACCTCTTGTGTGCGTGCGTGTGTGTGTGTGTGTGCGTGTGCGTGTGTGTAAATCCGAACGTGCAACCTCCACGCGGTATACCTTGGATAATGCTAATACCGACGGTACTGTAACTTTGAAGCTTCATAACTCGGGATATACTTAACAAAAATATATTTTGTTGTAGTGTTTTGGAAAGCTCTTGAAATACGTTATAAGAATATGCCGAAAAAAGTAGGACGTTCCATTTGAAAAGTTCAAGGTGACTTTGCCCTGACCTTGTTGACGTTAGCCAAGGTCAAACTGATAAGATCAGTAAATAGATCATTTTAAACCTTACAACTCTTGCCTGAAACATTTTTTCCAAACTGATTGTTTCCGAGATATTTTATCGTTCGGAGACTTTTTGAAAACCCTGTATGTATATATATTGTTACGTCCCTTGGAATTTGATTGGATTCAACAGAATTTATTTGATAACGTGGATATGACTATGAGGAAAACGCCTCTGTCCGGAGAACAATACACGGTTTGCGAAACACATTGAAGGACATAGAGGAAGACAAATGTTGTTTTATTCACATAGGTATCGAAAGGCTTACTGTGATCGGATGGCTGGAACGTCACTGTTTAGGCGTCCGACGGAACGGGAGAAGGAGCCCTCGTACGTGCCTGCGTCCCTCCCAGCTGAGATGACGGAACGTCGAACACTCGCGATATCGCACTCCCGGCTTCCGAAAGTCGCGTCTGTCTTTTCTTGTACGCATTAATTAAGAAGATCGAGAAATTGGTTGAAATCACGAATACACTTGGTTGCAACAATTGTAATGAGAAAGAACCAGAAAGAAAAAAAAGGAGATATACGAGAATATGAGAGACCGTCACGAGATGATGGAACTTGAAGATTCTCTAAGTACAATAGTTAAGGAAAGACTTGTGAGCACGCGTCCGAAACGTGTGACGGCCTCAACGAGAGTGAAGAAGCGGGCGGTTCGCCGACGGGCCGAGGAGTCCTTCTTCTTTGTGTCGGAGCAAGACGCGAGTTACTTGATACCCGGATGCAACAACGATAAGAACCCCGCCAAAGTGTCGCCTAAACAGTTCGGTTATCTTAGAATGAAGACGTTTACAATTTTATAGTCAACCGCGGGTGGACAATAATGCGGCAATCGCGAATTTAGGTACGACGCGATAGGCGACAATGATAGGCCAAGGAAGCGTTCCTGGCGAATTCGGCGCAACAAGTTTAATAATTCTAACGGAGAGTAGCAAACGGGGGTAGTACAATTTTATAGTGATAGGTTTTTACTTCTTTACACTACATTTCTAACGCTTTGATCTAATAACCGGATAATACGTAAAGTTTAGCGAGATGTCGGATGAAAGAAACAAGGTGGAGAATTACGACGCGATATGCCTTGTCTTCCATCCGAGATCCCTGAGAGCGAAGCTGGGCCGTGCTGCTGATGCCAAACAGTTATGAGATTCGTAGAATCACCAAGCTTATACTGCAGAGTTATAAAGTTAACGATTAGAAAAGTTGTTAACGGTTATAACACAACTTTCACACACTTAGTGCTTATTTTTATTGTTAAGAAGCAAGAGATGGGGAAGTTGCATAGTCTGTTCGCTATGATAAAAATAATTTAGAATAATAGTAAGAAATAATAACCAAGCCCTCGCGCAATCGGGCTGTTATTCTTGAGACTACGTAAGCAATGATAAAGCATACGCGCGCTGTAGAAAACGACGTGCCAAATTAACATAAAACAGAAGTGCCGAAAAGAAAGAAAACAGAAAAGAGTAACACAATTCATATGTTGAGTCTAGCACATAAAATGTGTCACCCAAAATCGATATATCAAATTAACATACGCCGGTGTCGGAAATTTAACACAAGGTTTTCCATATACAAAAGAATAGTAAAAGGTATTAAAGCTAATGCATTAACTTAAAATAAAATGTTAGTCACAATTACAGGTCGCCGTTACGAATGTCAACATAATATAATCCTAGTCCATATCGAACGAGGGAGGGGAGAACCGGAAGTTTAGATTGCAAGATGTACCGCTCGATAAGGATAAAAAAAGAAATAAGGAAAAGGGAGGAAAAATAGGAGCTGAGACGTAACAATATATAAAACTTAAAAATATTGAAACAACCAAAAGCTTTAAAGAAAATTTTATAAATTATCAATATACTCATACAGAATAAATGTCCAAAATACATCTTAGAGATATCCCATAGATATTGCAATATGTATAGAGAATGTATTTTGGATATTTGTTCTGTATAGATATACAAACATATGAAACTAAAATATATTTAAACAATCAAAAGTCTTAAAGAAAATGTTATGAACTATCAATACCCATATAAAACAAATGTCTAAAATACATCTGAGGGATATTCTACAGATATTACGATATTTACAGTGTATCGCTGAAATGTATTTTGGATATTTGTTCTATATAGGTGTACATATCGAACTTAAAAGCATGAAATAACCAAAAGCCTTAAAGAAAATGTTACAAGCAAACTATTGAAGTTTTTTACGCAGTTTCATTTTCTTCTTGTTCGTCTTGTTGCCCGCTTTTCCGTAATCGAAGTACTTCATTTTCGAGACTTTTTTTGCGTCTTTTAACCAATTCGCAATATGTAAATCAGCAATTTCTCTGTTATATGTGAATTGAAAGCCTCTATCTATCCTTTCTTGTGCATGTTTCTTCACAATAGCTGCAAAAAAACAAGTATTACATGCTACAAGTATTATATAACTGAATATATTAATACAAATGTCTCGTGTTGTGCAAATATTAAATTTGTACTGAGTATAGAATTTTGTATATTTATGTAATAGAAAAAAAAGTAAAATATATTATTATGAAAATAGCGACAATGTAGGACTTATATATATATAAATCTTACCAATAACAAGAATATAAGATGTTGTGCTTTGAAATTTTTTTTTCATATCTTGCTCCTTCTCTGTTTGTTCCCTTCAAATTGAAGTTAAATGCGACTTTGTTTGTCATAAGTTTGCGCATTATGCAATATATAGAGCCTTTTAAATTTTCCGTGCAATGTTCTATTAACTGTCGAATCTATAACATATAAAATAATAAAATAGAAAAAGGTCGCAGTAATATATAAGTTTTTTAAGCACAAGGAAAAAGAAATATATTTTCTTACCATAATCAATTTTTTCTCCTCCTCCAATATGAAATCTTCCCATATGCAGAAATCTTCCATAGAAATCACCGATAGAGCTGGAATCCCGATAGAATTGTCTAATGTTTCTGCAGAATGGCATGTAGCAATATAAATTTGTGTCACCATTCCTTGTAATTTATCAACACGGTTTCGTAAATCACTTATTGCTGCCATTATAGACTTTTCGCTTAAACCGGCTATTTTGTACAAAACAATTATATTGTTATATAAAAAGATATAAATAGCTTCTTGGTAACAATGCAATATTATTAATGCTATAATGTAAAGAACTGTTTTTATATTGAAAAAAAACTTACAATTTATTATGACATGTGATTTGTTATGAGAGTTTACAGGAAACGTACGTTTGTCTGTAAAAACAGTACAATCATGATAAATATAACATATTTTTCAACAACGGTTACAATACGAGCTTTCCGCAAAATATTTTTTTAATAATTGTTTCTATGTATATTACAGTAATTAAAAATAATCGTACCTTGTATTATTTTATAGAAACTTCGATCGTCACTATTGTCATATTCTCTTACTATGTTGTCTTACCTGTTTGTTTGTAAATCCTTTAGAACGTTACACTTATTTTTCTTTGCAAGATTAGGGTTTATATTTTCATTAATACTTTCATCAATAGATGAATATGTAAGATATATATCATCTGAAATTTGAGATCCCTGTGATTTGAAAAGAGACACATCTAAATGAAAATTAAAAAGCATATGTAAAGTTAAAAACAATTTAGAGCAACATGAAAAAATATTAACATAAATGAAATAGTTAAAAAAGAAAATTATATAACCTAAACAAACAAAATTTGTAAAAAATGCAAACTTACAAGTAACAATACTGAAAAAAAGAAAATTAACATGTAAAGTCAGAATGACTACTGTTTTAATATGTTTAACAAGTACATAAGCATCTTACTTTGTACTTGATTTGTATAATTATTGTTGCAAGTATCATCAGGATGTGAAAATATATGATGTCTTTTCCTTATTTGCTGAAATGTCAAAGAAAATTAAGAAAATAGAAAAACAAAAAGTTTTATATACTACATGTAATATATGTAATATATGTAATAAATGAAAATAAAATTAAGTATATAATATATATATATATATATATATATATATATATAATATAATATAATATATAATATAATATATAATATAATAAAAGAATTAACCATTTATCTTTAAGCCTTTTACAATTGGTGCTTGTAACTCAATATCACTGTCTGAATCAGAAGAATATATAGTACGTTTTCTTCGATTCATTGATGTTACAGTCAAAGGAGGACTGTATCTTCTAGTTACAATTCGTTGGCGCTTAATGTTTCTATCCTTGTCAGACTGTGACAGATCCGAGATATTTAAAGCTTTTTCCACTTCTTCTTTAGCTTGTCTTATAGATTCTAACATGCAATTAGGACATGAAGCAGAAAAACATGATAGCTCAGATAGATTAGAAAAGATAGAAATAAATGAATATTAGTGTTGCAAATGAATTTGACATATTAAAAGACATGTCTCTTATGTATTATAAAAAAAAAATAATAAAAGGAGAAAGCAAAAGCCAACACATTACTTATAAAAATAATAGCACACAACTCTGATATATACACAAAATATAATACTTACTACAAAACTTCAAAATTTTAACATTTTCATATGTAATCCAATTCACAATTGGTTTCTTTCTTTTTTCTAAATGGTCGCTTAGTTTTAATTCGTGTGGAAGCCATTTGCATAGAGCTGCAAATGTAACTTGTTTGCCATCTTTTGCAGACACTTTTATAGTTATATCCTCCAGCCATGTACATGCTGGCACTACATAAACAGTTGACTCCAATTCATTTTCTATAGGTAATTCAAGTACAGCATACTGCAATAAAATAGAATTATTCTTCTCTTCTCTCTCTCTCTCTCTCTCTCTCTCTCTCTCTCTCTCTCTCTCTCTCTCTCTCTCTCTCTCTCTCTCTCTCTCTCTCTCTCTCTCTCTCTCTCTCTCTCTCTCTCTCTCTCTCTCTCTCTTTCTCTCAAGCTAAGTTTCTCTTGGACACTTTTGTACTGAAAACATTATCCGATCTTGCTTTACCCAGAGAAAATAATCATGTGGATTCGACGTGATATTCTGATTGAGTATATGTAAAAAACAATAAAAACAAAATGACTATCAGCATAAAAACATTCAGGATGAACTTAACCTAATTATTCCTCTTTATCAACTTACCGGCTTATCCGCATATATTTGCATACTCATAGATATAAACGAATACGATATGAAAATGATAGAAATAAATACTATTGCTAATAGTAACAATTGAAATGAAAAGCAAAATTCCGTAGCTCAGCAATACTTCCAACAGATTTTATACGTGATTTAGGCCCAGTTCCACAACTTGCTTTAAACTCCGTTTAAAGCAAGTTGTGGAACTGTTAAGTCGGCTTGCTTTCCACAACTTGCTTTAAACTCTGTTTAAAGCAAGTTGTGGAAAGCAAGCCGACTTAAAAGAAAACTAAAGTACCTCTAACAGAAGATTCTCGATAGAATTCGATATATCGATTTTCTATCACTGCATTGCTGTCGATAACAATAACAAAATGTATCATAGTACTGCGAAGAGATTGCAACAATAATACAGTAATACTTTTGTTTTTATTAATTATTTGCTTATTAGTCAATTTCTATTCTAAATAAAGCATGTAAACTGCATTGTCATCTCAGGCTGAGTTTTGATATTCACTCTCAGTTTCAAAATATTATAAAATATTATAAATGATTGGCAGAAAATTTGAAGAAAAATCTAATCTCTTTTCGTATCCATTTTCATCAAGTCTTATAAACATATGTATAGTTAGCACTCTTGGACTTTTACACAGGTGCTTAGATGATATTAAAAGGAAAATTGTATTATTACCCTTCCCTGAAAAAAATGCGGAAGATAATACAATTATATCAAAAAGCGTCTGTTTTCCATTGCCCCATTCTGAAATATTGTTTTAGCACAATAACTTACTATTGTTTTAGCATAGTATCGAATTGAATGTGTGCGTATAAAGAAAACTATGTAACATATATATCAAATATAATAAATATAAAATTATTTTAATATTGTTTTATTCTATAATTATTATAATCTATGTCACTGTTTCTTTCTTCTATAGAATAATATTGTTTTTTACAATACAAAATTATCTTATCTGTAATATATATGGAGATCCAAATATTCGTAGATTTTATTACCTCTCAAAAGTGACATTGCGATTAACAATATGCCTTGATTGATTAATCTTATACAGGGTTTTTAAAGTTCCAGAGCAATCACATACTTATAGATTATATCATTCTGGACAAAAAAGTCTCATACATATTAGAAGTAACTATGCAAAGTTTTCAGTTATTAATAAAATAAAAACTTATTATCTGGGTCACACTTCTCATCGTTGACTGAATGAGGCTATACAATTTAGACTATATCTCTACATACTATATTTATTACATATTACATTTATAAAATCGTTTCCTTTAATAAATAACTCCAACTTCTGCGTTTACTTACAAAAATAGAACATCTTTCTTTATTTCGACGTATGTTTTCGCAGGAATATTTCGAAATATCCACGTAGAATCTATATTGATATTTCGAGGATGAAATGCTTCGATTTATCAATAACAAAAGAACGTTACATCCACGTCGATATTTTATGGATAAATGTCCATCCACATAGTCCACGTAAATTACGTGGATTCGATGTGGATATATCGTTGATGTCTTTGTGGGGTAATCTGCTGGTAGGTCTATGGATTAACAAATCTTGTTCGTGTTTTGTGGATTTATATTTATCAAAGTTACACACGTTATAAAAGGTGAGACCATATCGAACCAACCTGAGAACAGAAGGGAAACAGCGAAAACTATAAAAAACCGAAACATGCGCGCCACTTCGCCTAAAACTATAACCTTAAACTAATAGACTACATAGACTCGCAACTCTTAAAAACTAATTCTTCATACCAATATACAGGGTGTTTGATAGCTGATCATGCAGACGAAAGTTGGAGATATATTGGGTGTAGCCGAGAAGAAAAGTCATGTACCATAATGTCAAATTGGCAATAGTTACCGAGTTATTAATTAAATCACGTGAGCCAACGAGAGCGTAGAGAACGGAGGGCGGCCTCAATAAGCACGTAGACATTTGATACAGGCGGAGTCAGTGAGTGGTGGTAGACAAGCGCGCGCGGCGAGGGGCAACGTAAACGACAATAGGAGCGAGCGAGCGAGCGCAAGCGACAAGAGGCGAGTGAGCGCGACGAAGAGCGAGCGAGCGCGAACGACGAGGAGCGAGCGAGCTATAAGGAAAAAGCTATAAAGAAAAGCTCGCTCGCTCCTCGTCGCGCGCAATCGCCTCTTGTCGCTTACGTTGCCCCTCGCCGCGCGCGCTTGCCTACCGTCATTGACTCCGCCTGTATCAAATGTCTACGTGCTTACTGCGGCCGCCTTCCGCTCTCTACGCGCTCGTTGGCTCACATGTTTTAATTAATAACTCGATAACTATTGCCAATTTGACATTATGGTACATGACTTTTCTTCTCGGCTACACCCAATCTATCTCCAACTTTCATCTGCATGATCAGCTATCAAACACCCTGTATAACCTCAATATAATTAGAGTATAATTCAGTTATATTCCACACAGCACACTTTATCTCAGGGACATCCGACAGACATCATTTTGGGATACTGCAATATCTTGAGGATATACAAATGTCCGCTGTTTTAGATCCTACAGATATCTTACGGATATCCTTTTTAGTAACTTTAGTTCCTTTTCAGAAATTTTTAGTCTCCAAAAATTATTACTAAGAAAGATATCCGTAGGATATCTGTGGGATCTAAAACAACGGACATTTGCATATCCCTAGGATATTGTTGTAGAACGTTTTTAGGATAACGTGTGTTGTGTAGGATGTTACTCCTATGTTATATAAAAGTTATATTCTGTATTTGCTGAGTATGCTCTTTCTGCATCCCTTTATAGATTTTATTGCGCATCAACCCTAACCAAACCAAACCTAATAAAGCACAGGAAATTTTGAAATTTCCTTATTGTCATACGTATCATATTTTTCGCACTATTTATCTTCGGGTTACTGCAACGCATTCTCAAAACGCTACCCCTGGAATATTTTCACAGTCCTATGACCATTTCTGGACATAAAATTTAGACTTCTGATGCAACTCTTTGAATCCTACCTTCCAATCCGAGCTAACGATTTGAGGTAAACCATAAAGCTTCTTCAATTCCGAACACACTCGCGACTTGCACAGATTGAAATCCTCTCTCGGTTTTATCGCAAACATCTCTGTAGTACAGTATACTCTGTAGTATTTTCTGTAACAACTTAGTTTAGTGAGTAAACTTCTCTCATAAGTACAAGTATACCAGCCACTCATTGATAACCTTCTATTTCCATTATGTCGCCAATCTCGCGTAACGTAACATAGCGCGTATGTGAACAATACGGCAATAAGCGGGTTTTCATTAAAAATCGAAATTTTAATTTTGAATGTCTGCCATCTTGTCCCAAATCAATACTTCGGAAAACTGTTCATTCAAAGACTAGATTATTTAATATATTAAATAAATCTTTCTGAATATTTTATTTCAGATGATCTGAATCCGAGTAGCAGTAGTCACCGCAAAACAATATTTCTAAAAGTACCTGCAAGAAAACGGTCATATCTTTTTTATTTATTAATATTTTTTATTATAATAATTATGTAAAATTCATAAAAAATATATTCTTTCAAGTATACAAACGTTTTTTTAAAGTATTATAAGTTTTGAAAAGATTCCTAAATATCATATTTTTTGACTTCCTGTGAATATGATCCCTTAAATGATAATATATCAGCAGAAGTTTTTGTAATGAGTTGGCGGCTTTTTTTGTCAAATTCGTCTATTTTTTTCTTCTTGTTTTCCTCCTCTTCTTCGTCTACATTCTCCAATAACTAATTTTACGTATTATTCCTCTTCCGTTTCGTTATCATCTCTCGTTATTAACTCCATAATATACATGTAAAAGCTGTGCATTCTTATGCCTTGTATATTAGTATATTTATTTTTATTGTGATAAGTCTTGCTTTAATATTGTTACTACGCAAATAACAGTTTATATATTCCAAGTTAAAGTAATGTCGAAATACATATTTTTTTATATTTGTACTCAATGTAATTGCTCCCTCTATTTTCTCTATTACATTAATGGCATATAACATTCATATACCTCATATCAAAATATGTTTTGAAATGCATAATTATCCCTAATAGACAGACATGTTAGCAATAGCATACGTTCAATATGTATTTTATAGTATCATTGAAGTGACATAACATGTTTAATATGTGCATGCTGTAAGAAATATGTAGGGTGCCCCATTTTAAAACCCCAGGCAAATATCTCGAAAAATATGGAAGGTACGGAAAAATATTTCAGACAAAAGTTGCATGGTTTTAAGGGGAACATAAAACAACTATATAAATTTGTTTACATATATTCTTGAGATCAAATAGAATAAAAAAGTCTAGTGCTATTCTTTCTTCCGACAACTAGTTAGCGAGATATCGTAAGTTAAATATTGAAAAAGTTGCCAAGTTTTCCTTAAGGGGTAAGGCCACTCCAGGTCCCAGAAAAGAAGGCTAATTTCGGGAATTTTTTTCAAGAGTATAATAAAAGCACTGGAAAAATCAGTTAAGGTATTTTATTAAACACACATTTAAGTGTAAGAAAAAATTTTTCTTATTTGTTTTTATTTTAAAATGGCGGCTTCAGAACCCAAGATTGCAGGACACCTTTTATGCGAGGTCTTAAACGGGCGAAACGATTACTCCCGCAGATTTTAACCTAGAACAAAAAACCAAAAATTTTTAAGTAATATATGCCAAAAGCTACTGGATAGCGTACGGAAATTTGAAAATACCGTTTTCTTGAAAAATGGTGCACATTTTTAAAGAAAGTTCATTTTTCACCCAAAAATTTCACCGAAAAATTGTTTATAAAAAAGAAAGTTTATAACTTATTGCAAAATCCGTACTCTATCCACTAGATAATGTATCTGAAAAGTCACCCTCAAAAGTTCAAGAGAATCGATAAAGATTTGTAGGAGTTATCATTTCACCCAATTGCATTTTTTAGAAAAATGCATTTTTTAGAAAAACGCGTTCAAAGTTTTGAATAACATTCTACAGCAGAAAATTTTATTATACCTTTAATCTGCAATGCCTGCATCATATAATTGGCCTTCCAAATTGATATTTTCCTCTTCTTCATCATTCCTGCCTGATTTTAAAGCAAGCCGAGATGTTCTTGCAGCTTCAGTCAACGATCGGTCGGATAACTCGATGCGGCGGTCGTCCGCCTCAACAGCAGAAGTTATAACAATTCAGCCCTATGGTCATGCCTAAAACCGCCATAATTTGCATGATACTTATTCCATCGTTGAAGATGCACACAGCAAGATTTCCTGCAAAATCAAGGACAGTTTTCCCACTTGATATTTATTTTGGGGCTATTGACCAAACCGTAGCGTTGAAGCTTTCATTACTGTTCTGTGTGAAGCCACCTAAACACCGTGTAAGAAGGTCGTCGCTGTTCAACTCTTCGTAGATGGGCTTCATGGCGTTAAAAACTGTTTGTGGAAGAGCTTGCTTGTGTGAATAAGTATTTAAAGTATTGGTGGCTTTTGCCTTTTGCCACGAACACCACGAACTTTCACCGGACGGGCACTTGTCGTGTTGTGGCTTTTCATTTGTCGACAGCTTGAGGTACAACGTTGCCCAAATTTCATTTCTCATCTTTTCTATTGAATTTTGATTCCTGCGGATGGCCAAGCCGTAGTACATTGAAAGCTCATCAATGAGCTTGCCTGTCAATTTTCCTTTCCCGCAAGACCTTTTACTTCTTTGTACAAATTTCTTAGCCGAGTTTTCATTCTTTTCTGAACGTGATCGACGCATTCCTTCTTTTGTATTGTGAAATTCTCATAAGGCTCAGCATTTAAAATACCTTTAAATATCTTAGAGCCACCATCACCTATATATCTGCCGTATTTCACTTCATATAAACTTTCAGAACGCTGAAACATTTCGACAACTGCGTCGACCTCCATTTTACCCGCCGACCCCTCGTGGTTTATTTGGCATTGGTTTACATGTGTTTCCAATCACTCAGCATATTCTGCAGTATCAGATTTTTTTTACAATATTCGCAAGCCTTGCAATATTTAGATTTGATTATTATATCAATCACTTTTCCAGTACTCCATCCTATTAATGTCACCAAACCAAATAATGATGAAAATCCACGTTTCCTTCAAGAACCATCACCTGACACTACCAATTCACTTTCAGCACATTCTTTTTTTCTATTTCTGCTGCTTTTGCCATGCTAACCTTACAAATAGTTTCTGTTGCATCATGAATAGTTTTAATAAGTTTATCATAGAATGAATGAAAAATTGGCTGAGGTAGTTCCATGAACGTACAGAACTTTTTGATTCCATGTAAACCAATTCCTAATAATCGCATGACAAGAACTATTCTCCGATTGATTTCATATGCTCGGTTAATATATGGACTATTGGAAATTTCAGTTTTCTCACAGTTGGTACAAGAAATAACTATCTTGAAACCAAGTCTACGTTTGCCACTTTCAGTAAATGTGACGTTCGATTTGCACACTTTGCACTTAACAACTTGTGAAATAGCAGAAAACACAGCCACAAAATTCATCAAACGATAGCCGAACGATGCATCTACTTCAACTTGACGAGCATCTTCAGACAGCCTAAGCTTCTTAGTGGACGTGCCGACGCTCTCGGGATCCGGCGACTCCATTTCAAATCTGTTTAACGGTCGATGACGTGACTTGCTTGGTTTATTTGCAAAACTCGCTCCTCCCTTTGTACCTTTACGGTCACGATATTTTGATATTTCACTCATTTTGTGTCAATCACCAATCTAAGTAATAACAAACGAAAGCTAATAGAATGCAACAAGCAAGTGTGCGCTTGGCGTCCTTCTAACGGCCAGACTGAGTGTACACTAACACTTTGCTGTATTTACTTTTACTATTACGACATGTGCAAGCTATTATACGAACCTTATACTACTATCCTACTTTCTAGAACCCCGAAAATAAGTGATTCTCAACAGGTAAGAGGATTACAAAGGTCTAAATTCAAGCACGCTGTATCGATCCAAAAGCGCTTAGAGCGCGCAGCGGGGTGCCTTGGCAAAACCTTCGAAAACGACCTCTTTGAGATTTCTCCGGGCTATGAAACATTTTTTTTTCTTATTTTTAAGGCTTCAAGGCAACATATTAACAAAAAAAAATTAATTTTTTGAAAATTCTGGAGTGGCCTTACCCCTTAAATATTTCAAAGTATATTAAGTAAATAAAAAAATGTTTCAGACAAAAATTATTCAAATTAATTGATAAAAGAGATGCTGTAATAAGAAATTAGGATTTCTATTTAAGAAAAGTAATGATTATTTGTAAGTATGAATATCTCGAAAATGGCGCCATCTGTAAACAAATTGATATAGTTCTTTTATGTCCTCTTTGAAATCATACAACTTTTGTCTAAAATATTTTTCCGTCTCTTCCATATTTTTCGAGATATTTGCTTGAGGGATTTAAAATGGGACACCCTGTATATTTATCATTTCATACTTTGCAGTAAAATATCAGTTTGTTTGTATTGCTGATTAATTGTATCCTGTTGTCGACATAATTATGGTATGTGCCGCAATTTTCATGACATCAGATTGCTTTTTTTATATGCTGCTACAATATTTCTTGTATGAAGACGCATCTTTATGTATTTATATTACTATTTTAATTCTTGAATTCAGTCTTTATCCAGACAATCTGTCGAAATTTGTCTATCTGGGCACTATAGATTGTGCATTTCAGGCGAGAAAACAGATGTAATCAATAACATCCTTATAAATCTTAAACAAAGATTCAGTTATTACAAACAATATATTTTGCATGATATTGAGATCTATGACCAAATCTATAAGCTAAATATCCACCAAGAACCTTCTTTTAACCAGTTTGCATAATATATAATTCCAATAAAAACATGCTTTAAAAACTATAACTAAAAGGTGTCCCAAAATTCACGCAAGAAGTAATTTTGATAGAAAACACAGGTTTATAATTAAAAACTGTAAATTTTTTATTGATTCATAAAGTATACAGTATAGGGTTATATATGGAATAGCATATCGGGTAAACGAGTTCATTGAATGGATTATGGAACTACAAGTGGATGCTGATTTTTCGAACAAAATCATCTTCAGCGATGAGGCACATTTTTATCTTGATGGCTTGGTTAATTGACAAAATGTTGCATTTTGGGTTTAGAAAATCCACAAGTGAAAATCCACGAGTTGAGAAACAAATGCATCCACAACGTGTCACTGTTTGGTGCGGATTTTGGGCTGGAGGCATCATCGGACCATTCTTCTTCGAAAATGCGGCTGGTCAGGCAATAACAGTTAATGGTGCTCGCTATCGCGACATGATAAACCAGTTTTTTGTGCCTAAATTGCAAGATATGGATGTGGACCACATGTGGTTTCAACAAGACGGTGCCACATGCCAGTGTCCGAGAAACAATTCAATTACTGTATAAGTCATTTCCTGGTCGTGTAATTTCCCATTTTGGTAGTCAGATTTGGCCGCCCAGATCATGCGATTTAACGCCGTTGGACTTTTTTTGGGGGGTTTTTTGAAGTCTAAGGTTTATGCCAATAAGCCCACGACCACCCACGCCTTGAAGGAGGAAATTGAGCTTTGTATCAACGAAATTTAGCCACATTTATGCAAAACGGTCATGGAAAATTTCAACAAAAGAGTGCATATGTGCCAGCAAAGCCGTGGAAGCCATTTACCCGATATGCTATTCCATATACAACCCTATACTGTATACTTTGTGAATCAATAAAAATTTACAATTTTTAATTATAAACCTGTGTTTTCTATCAAAATTACTTCTTGTGTGAATTTTGGGACACCCTTATAATTTTCCTAATAAAACTCGTTTCATTATTCAACTGATGTTGAAGCCTCTGTTTCTTGCATAGGTGGTAAAACGCGTACCGAATAATGGACCTTCTTATTCCTTAGAAAACTGTAAGTATTATCAAAAACAATAGAATCTGAAACAGACAAATTCACCTATTGGGATAGTATCATTCGTAGTATTGATATACAGCATATTGCTCAAACAATATTAGCTTACAGATCGCTGGAACTTCACAATTTAGTATTCCGATTTCTTCTGACTGATGGGATGCGACTCTTCGGATGGGTATAACTTCTGTTTTTGTACCACTTGTATCTTTTCTCAAGATTCCGAATTTTATATCATGACCTTCGCTCCGAAATTCCCAACTGTACGAATAATTATAATTATTTGAAGAAATATCTTGTTACTTAAAAATATTTACCTTAAAATCGAGCCCACTTCGGAAGCGGAAACATCAAATTCAATTTTCCTGCCTTTTCGAATAACGACAGTAGTATAATCTTCATTTAGTTTATCTGCATTACTGATATACATATCTTTTGGTATTTTACCACCTTGGCAAATCTAAAAATAATTTCAGAGATTATTCTGTGATATGAGATAATAAAGTTTTACATATGATATTTTATATTCCAGGAAGAAATACATTAAATATCAAAATCAAAGAAGCACTAAATTTTTGTAAAATGATTATCGATTATAAACTGTTATACTTTTGAGAAGAAATTATATAATGCTTTTCATAGAATTATTTTGAAGAGAGAAAATTCTACCTTGGTTGGTTTTTCTTAAAGATCCTTCTGCACTAGGAAGCGAGAATTAACCTGTTAACGTTCAAACAGACGATTTTTTGGAGACTTTTTCACTTAAAGAATTCATCATATTCTAGTTCTTCAAAAAATTCAAACCAAAGTTTTTCTTACGTAGAGTTTTGTGCTTTTTCAAAATCCGACAACGTTTCTTTCGAAAAATCAATTTCAAAATTGTTATAAACGAATTTTTCGAAAAGAAAACGTAAATTTCTACTGACAGATTCTATTCAATCAACGATAACACATTAAAACTGCTTGAGCTCAACCTTAGGGAGTAAATTTCTTGCGTCCATGGATCCCAAACTTCAAGATCAGTGGCTGAGTTTTTCAAAATTCAACATAGCACCAACCAAAATGGCGCTCTAAAGCTAAAAAATTTGACCGATTTTTTTTCTACGCGAGAAAAAGGAATAGTTGGATTAAAAATGTTTCAGTATCAATCGAATGATATTTTCACATGTTTTCTGGATCGCTGATTACAAATTCGAGATCAGATTTGCAAATTTCAATATGGCGGATCCAAGATGGCGGTATATATCGCTCAAATTTCGAAAAATATGGCTAAAACTCTATACCAGAAGATTATTGAGGGCTGCTCATCCTCAATCGAGAGATATGGAATAGTTCCCAACAAAAGTTGTTGAGAATTGACTCTGACCCGTAAGTTCAATAACATTATTGTGATGTCTATTAGCCGTCGATAATTATTGCCCGATTCTTATCACGAGAAGGTCGACATCTGTGAAAGTCCTCTTTTGTTTATTTTTTTTTTTATTATTTTTTTGATTACTTTTTTATTATTTTTTTGGAGAATTTAGAGATATTTATTTATGAAAATTCATGGAGCTTACTTACGAAAAATCTGAAAACATTTCAAATATTGATAGACTTGATAATCAACACAGAATTTTTGAGTCCTTGAAGAATACTTAGAAGAAGGAAATTGAGGTTGTAGTGAAGGATGTTGTATTGGATATAGCTTCGACATATCTCATAAAAAATAAAACCAACAATTTACTATCGCATAAAATTGAGACTGTCGCAGCCAAAAGAAATTTCCCGAATTTTTCTAATAAGGAACACTACCCAACTCACCGATTCCAATGAAATTTGGCATGCACGTAGAATATTGAAAAATATTGAACATGTGTTTTTTTATATCGGCTGACAACGCATTTTAAGGGTGGAAATCACTCCTTGATCCCTGAATATGAAAGCCCTATTTCAACCCTTTGTACATATTACATGTGATTTCAAACTTGTCTTACATTGAACTAATCAGTAAGGGGTTTTTAGAGTCGCTGATTACGAATCTGAAGATAAAATTACAAAATTCAAGATGACGGACTGAATATGGCGGACCGAAATTGTAAAAAGGTGGCTGATTCGAACCAATTTTGGTATCTGAAGGTTTTTGGGGTCCCTAATTATGAATCTGGAGATAAAATTACAAAATTCAAGATAGCAGAATATGACAGACGGCGGAAGGTGACGCAATATGACAGATTGAAATTGTACCACTGAAGGAGAATATTGCCTCAGACAATTACATTTACTAAATTTAACAATGAATCGGTATTCAAAATTAACCTGTCGCGTTAGTTTTTTTCAGATTAGGAAGTTGGTCTTCCAAAAAATTATTATCCGTCAGTATTCGAACGGAATATATAATTATATTCTGACATATCTTGAAAAGATATAGATAAGATATAGATATGGATATCATGATATCTTATGCCTTATATTTATTCATTTATTTATATTCTATTTATTTATATATTTATTCATATTCATTCATATTATTTATTTAAATTCTGGACTTAAACAACAAAAAATCTATTAATGTTCAAAACGTTAATTTTAACATCCAGAAAATTTATATAATTAATATCCTTGAAAGTTTACAATAAGCCTTCTTAAAAATCTTGCAAGTAAAACACATTACAATAATAATAATAATAAGGTGCGACAAACGAATTATATTTTAACTTCCAACTTCAGATTCGTAATCAGAGGCCCCAAAAACATCCAGATACCAAAATTGGTTTGAATCAGCCATCTTTTTACAATTTCGATCCGCCATATTGGGTCCGTCATCTTGGATTTTATCTCCAGATTCGTAATCAGCGACTCTAAAAACCCCTTACTGACTAGTTCAAAGGAAGACAAGTTTGACGGAAATCACATGTAATATGTACAAAGAGTTGAAATAGTGTTTTCATGTTCAAGGATCAAGGATTTCTACCCTTAAAATGTGTTGTCTGCCGATATAGAAAAACACGTGTTTAATATTTTTTCAATGTTCTACATGCATGCCAAATTTCATTGGAATCGGTGAGTAACAGTTGGGTAGTGTTACTTATAAGTGTTCTTCAAGAACTCAAAAATTCTGTGTTGATTGTCAAGTCTATCAATGTTCGAAATGTTTTCAAATTTTTCATAAGTAAGCTCCATGAGTTTCCATAAATAAATATCTCTAAATTCTTCAAAAGAAAAATAGTAAAAAGAAATAAAGAAATAAAAAAGATAAAAGAAAATAAAAAAGTAAAAAAGACTCTTACAGATGTCGTGGTAAGAATCGGGCAATGGCGGTATAATTATCGATGGCTAACAGATATCACAATAATGTTATTGAACTTACGGATCAGAGTCAGTTCCCAACAAAAGTTGTTCAGAACTAGTCTATATCTCTCGATTGAGGATGAGCAGCCCTCAATAATCTTCTATAGAGTTTTAGCCATATTTTTCGAAATTTCAGCGATATATACCGCCATTTTAGATCCGCCATATTGAAATTTTCAAATTTTATCTCGGATTTGTAAGCAACGACCCAAAAAATATGTAAAAAGTATCATTCGATTGATACCGAAACATTTTTAATTCAACTATTCCCTTTTGTCGCGTAGAAAAAAATTGGTCGAATTTTTGACATTAGAGCACCATTTTAGTCGGCGCCATGTTGCATTTTGAAAAACTCAGTCATTGTTTTTGAAGTTTGGTGTCCATGGACGCAAGAAATTTACTCCTTAAAGTTAAGCTCAAGCAGTTTCAATGTGATACCGTTGATTGAAAAGAATCTGTCAGTGGAAATTTATGTTTTTTTTCGAAATAACTATTTATAACAATTTTGGAATTGATTTTTCGAAAAAAATGACTTCGAATTCTGAAAAAGCACGAAATTCTGCGTAAGAAACATTGAGTTGGATTTATTGAAGAACAAACATAACGAATTCTTTGAGCGAAAATGTCCCCAAAAAATCGTCCGTTTGGACGTTAACGGGTTAAGAAAAGATTTGAATTTCGAAAATTTTACAGTTCTATACAATGTCTCTATGGAATGTCATACGTTTTTTACAATTTAAATCAGAATAAATTTAAAAATAACTACCTTTGAAATAACTTATTAAAAATAAAATTTGCGGTTTTTTATCACTTCATGGCACTTTTCTCGAAAATATTAGGTTGGGGAAAAAGAAATCCATTAATTTTCGTTTATTTTAAGGCTTTGTTTAACATAGTTAAGATTGTTCGATTTTGGTCAAATAAGCACCGTTTTGTTCTACAATTTGTCACCATTTTAAAGGTAATTTCATGATCCCTCTTTCATAGAAGCCCTGGTCCTTATTTGCAAAAAACCCGACTAAGCGATTTTCACAGTTCTCTCTTGAGGTCAAATTTTACGGAGGTCAATTTCTCAAGGAAGTTTTGCAATGACAGAAACAGATGATAATCGCTTGGTGCCAGGTCCGGATAAGGTGGATGCATCAAAACTTCCCAACCAAGCCCCCGGAGTTTCTGACGAGTCACTATAGACGTATGTGGCCTGGCATTGTCCTGATGAAAAACAATTCCTCTCCTATTAACCAATTATGGCTGCTTCTGGTCGATCGCTTGCTTCAAACTGTCTAATTGTTGACAATAGATGTCCGAATTTAGTGTTTGGCCATATGAAAGCAGCTCATGATGGATGATTCCTTTATAGTCCCACCAAATACTCAACAAAACCTTCCTGGCCGTTAATCCTGGTTTGGTCATCGTTTGAGCCATTTCACTGCGCTTTGACCACGATCGTTTTCGCACAATATTGTCGTATGTAATCCATTTCTCATCCCCAATCACCATCCGTTTCAGAAATGGCTCGATTTCGTTCCGTTTGGTCAAGGCTTCGCAGATTGAAATTCGGTCCATCATGTTTTTTTTGCGTCAGTTCGTGTGGCACCCAAACATCGAGCTTTTTTTTTGAATCCAGCTTTATTCAAATGGTTTAAAACTGTTTTGTGGTCGATCTTCAGCTCCTTGGCGATACTACGACTGCTAACATGCCGGTCTACTTCGATCATTTCCATAATTTTATTGACATTTTCGACGACGGGCTTACCTGTGCGAGATGCATCTTTAACATCAAAATTACCGGAACGGAATCGACGAAACCAAAATTGTGCATGATTGGCTGTGACAGTATTGGGACCATAAACACCATTCACAATTTCAGCCACCTGGTTTGCATTCTCGCCTTTATCGAAGCAAAATTGTAAAATATACCGAATTTTCTCTTTGTTGATGTACATCTTTTACGTGCTATAACTCACAACTTAATCGACAAATCACAAAACCGTTAAAGAATTTTTTTTAGTACGGAATGTCACTTCCAACGAGTATAAATATTAACCTATGTGATTAATACATCACCGTGATATATACCACTAAAGCTATCAAGCGGAAAAATAATGGATTTCTTTCCCCAACCTAATA